CCTCCTCCTGCTCCTACATATCCTGCTCCTCGTCCATCTCCTCCTCCTCCTCCTCCTCCTCCTCCTCCTCCTCCTCCTCCTCCTCCTCCTCCTCCCCCATTGCTTATCCTTATAAGTAACTTCTCCCTGTCAGACTCCGAGGCCAGTTTTTAGGGCGGGCCGGGCGTTTCGCCTGAGAATTCCTCACCATTTATGACTCTGAAGCTTTAAAAGTGTCATCCGTTTCACAGATGGAGGGTGGGTGGTTTTCGAAATGTGGCTCTCGCCTTAGCGCCGGGCACATTTGTTTTAAACAGTTGCCACGATTTTCGCGAATTGAGGGCGGGTAGTTTTCAAAATGTGGCTCTCGCCTTGGCGCCGCGCACACTCGTTTTAAACCATTTGCCAAGGGTTTCACAGGTGGAGGGCGAATGGTTTTCAAAATGTAGCGTTCGCCTTAGCGCCGCTCACATTCGTTGCCAAGGGTTTCACGGATTGATGGCGGTTCCTTGTCAAAATGTGGCTCTCGCCTTAGCGCCGTGCTCATTCGTTGTTAAACATGTGCAAGAGCTTCACGGATTGAGGGCGGTTCCTTTTCAGAATGTGGCTCTCGCCTCAGCGCCGCGCACATTCATTTCAAACATGTGCAAGAGTTTCACAGATTGAAGGCGGTTCCTTTTCAAACTGTGGCTCTCTCCTTAGCGCCACGCACATTCGTTGTAAACATTTGCAAGAGTTTCACAACTTCCCATGATCAACGTACCAGAAATGGTGTTTGGAAAGAATTAGGATTATGCGGGTGCAACAGTTATATCGATTCGCGGTGATGAAGTCCCAAAAATGGCGTTCTGACACGATTCCGGATCGTCAAGACGCAGCAGTCAGGTTGATCCGTGGCCTTGAAATCCCGCGAACAATGTTTTGGCATTCTGCAGGATCTTCAAACGGTTGCCTTCCAACGAGGCAGTTCCCTCAATGGAATGAACCGTTGTAGGGGTCTATGAAGAGGGAGCTTGGAGGGAGGGATAATTCCAACATCGTTGATGACTCTTGGGTTTACACTGGTCCTCCTCCTCCTCCGCCTCCTCCTCCTCATCATTGGCCGCCGCGATCGCCGCGGCAACCTCCAAAACCGACCGGGAGGTTTGGTCCGGGGTCAGAAATAATGCAGCAGTCACTGTCACTCCTGCGGGTGGAGAACAGGGTAGGATGTCGCATCGGAGATCCGTGGATCGAAAGGCGTGCCTGGAGCTCGATCTCTCCTGAATTCATGTGGAAGAAGGAGGGCATCGGATCGGATCGGACTCGTGGAGAACTGGCGATCGCTGGGACGCGTAGACTCGGATCGCCTCGATGACACAGCTACCGCTGCTGGGAAATGGCGTTGCTAGGAAGCAGAAAAGAAGAGAAGGAGGAGGAGGTGGAGGAGGGGGAGGGGGAGATGAATAACCCAGCACACGCTAACATGGATTACTGATCCGCGGACCGAGGCGAAACGTGAAGCCAGCGCCACCTGATCTGGCGACGGAGCGCGCCAAATTTGCAAGGAAACGAGACCCATCGCCAATCCACGCGCCTTGATCCATGTCTGCGCTTCCTCGAAACAGGAGAGGCGATCCTTCCCCCCTCCTCCACCTCTCCCCCCTCACTCCTTTTCGCCCCTTCCCCCCCTCCTCCACCTCCTCCTCCTCCTCCTCCCCCTCACTCCTTTTCACCCCTTCCTCCCCCCCATCCGACGACGATGACGGATACGATGACCGCGCACCAGCTGTCGCGGAACAGGTGGCTTGCCCTTCGCACCCTCTGGCTGCCAAGGGTTCTTGCTCTCGGCGATCACGACCTGTGGGCCGCGGAGGTCGTCGTCATCTGAATCCACGCCTGACCGTCCTCCATCACGTCGTCGTCCGTTGGGTTGCCGCGTGCCCCCCCCACCCTACGAGCATCTGAATGAGGCCGCCTCGCGCTGGAATGCCCAAAAGTTAAGGAAGTGTCGACAGTTGCGCAGTTGCGGATGTCAAGGAAGGAGGGGAATACTTCGGGCATGGGTAAGGCGTGATCTCGTTGTCCCCTCTCCCCGGGAGCTCAAGAGTGCCCACTGTTGCGCACTTCGCACCATCCAGGGAGGGGAGGTCATGCTTCTGATATAGGTAAGGCCGCACGGCGCTGTACCCACTATTATATTGCACGGAAGTGCTGACAGGGGAGCAGCTGGCAGCGCCCAGGAGGGGAGGGAGAATTCTCGGTTCAGTACAGAGGATGGGTTATCGGGCCCATGCAGAAGCTGACCAGTGCTGAGTTATATCACCTCGCGAAGCGAGGAATTCGGACCCCCCCCCTGATGGAAGACTCCGAGGCTGGTGTTTCTGTCCAGGGCGTGTGGGGGGAGCGCTGGAGCGAACAGGAGCTCCTGGCGCGATACGGTCTCGACCCAGGTTTGCTCGAGAAGTTGATGGCCCAGACGCGGCCAAAGGAATCGGAGGAGTCCGAGACCGACTCCGATTTGTTTTAATTGTGCTGCGTTTCGGGGGCAGCGGCACTGACGCTGCCTCCACATGGAACAGAACAGAACAGGGGAGGGAGAATTCTGAGCTGCATCAGCCAGCACCCCTCTCGACCCCCCCAGAGCTCACGAAAGTGCAATCAGTGTAGTATCTCGCAGCGCCTGGGGGGGGGTGTAGCTCTGGTGCGGATAAGGCCGCCTTCCGCTGGACCTCCCAGGAGTTCAGAAAAGTACCGACGACTGCGCGGTTGGCAGCGCTGCCAGCCCCCAGGAGGTGAGGATGAGGTGGGGGGCAGGAGGCAGGAGACGGTAAGAGGCAGGGCGAGGAGGTGGGAGACGAGAAGGGAGAGGAGGTAGGAGGCGAGAGCATTCGCAGGAGCAGGAGGACAGCTCAGCAGCGCTCCATTCAGAACGAAGACCCAGCCACAGGAGGGTCCGGCACACAGTGAATGGAGTGTTTAGAATTGTGAGGGGAAGGAGAAGGAGGAGGAGGAGGAGGAGAAGGGAGGAGGAGGAGGAGGAGGAGGAGGAGGAGGAGGAGGAGGAGGAGGGAGGAGGAGAGAGGCTGTAAAGAGGAGGCGGGGGGGCGGGGATCCAGAAGTGCGCAGGGAAGGCGAGCTGACGTGGGCCTCCAGGGCTTTGGCCCCACCCGCGGGAGCGGTTTCGGGATGCTTCCTGCAGCTCTCAAGGCCTAGCAGAGGCCCATTGGCGCCGAAGCGCGCGAAGAGGAAAACTGCAACCGTCCTTCTTTCGCAACGTCAGAAGGCCTGGGTCCGTATCCACCTCCTCATCATCCTCCTCCCCCTTCTCATCCATCTCCCCCCCACACACACACACAAGCACAAATCCTCGAATGCTGGATCATCGGCTCGACCCTGCTTCCTCTCGATCCTCGATCCGCCTCGATCCTTCCCTCGATGCCCAGTCATCATAGGCCAGTCACGCCTAGCCCTTGATCCTCGATCCTCCCTGCCCCTCCAGGACGAAGGCATCGATGATGATGATGACGACGATGGTGATGATGATGATGATGCTGATGATGCTGATGATGATGATGATGATGATGATTATGCTGATGATGATGATGATGGTGATGATGCTGCGGATGATGATGAGTGAGGTGGTGCGTAAGCTTATGGTCAGGTCATGGTGGTCGTGCTAGCCATGATGGCGGTGGTAATGCCGTTGTTGTGGCTAAGCGGATGCGAATACTGATGCTGGTGTTGGTGCTGACGCTGATGATGGTGATGGTGATGGCGATGGTGATGAGGATGATGATGAGAACGGTGATGGAAACGTTTGATGACAATGATGCTGATGCTGATTATGATGCTGGTGCCGACGCTGACGCTGACAAATACGATAATGATGATGTTGGTGATGATGATGATGATGATGATGATGGTGGTGGTGATGATGGTGATGGCGATGATGATGATGCTGATGATGATGGTGATGATGAGTGTGATGATGATGACGACGATGATGGTGGTGATGGTGGTAATGACGATGAAGATGATGATGACGATGATGCTGATGGCGATGATGATGGTGCTAATGATATTGTTCCTGCCCATGATGATGATGGTGATGATGATGATGGTTGTGTTGGACATGATAATATTACTGATGATGATGATAAAGATTGTGATGATGATGCTGATGATGATGATACTGATGATGATGATACTGATGATGATGATGCTGATGATGATGATGATGATGACGATGATGATGAGATTCATGATGATGGTGATGATGGTAATGATGTGGATAAAGGGTAAGGCAGAGGATAGGAGGAGGAGGGATAGGAGGATGGAGGTGGCGGAGGAGGATGTCTTCCTCCTCCTCGTTGTCCTCCTTCTGGAGGTGTTGGAGAAGGATGTCCTCCTCCTCCTCCTCCTTCCTCCTCCTCCTTATCCTTCTCCTCCTCCTCCCCCTCCTCCTCCCCCTCCTCAACCTCCTCCTCCTCCTCCTTCAGTTCCTCCTCCTCCTCCCTTCCACATCCTCCCCCCTGCACCACATCCGTCCTCATCCCCTCTTCCGTCATGATTATCCTCCTCCTCCTGCTCCTGCTCCCCCTGCCCCTCCCTCCCATCCAGGAGGGCCTCGAACATGTACCGCCCGGCCTTCAGGCCCACGTTTGCGCGGGCCCCAGCGAGGAGGTACTGCATGCCGCCGTCGCCCAGGGACATCAGCAGCTTGCCGTTCGTGGTGGGCATGACGTTCAGGGTCGTGTCCTCTGTCGAGTGGGGCGGCAAAGAGGGGGGAGGGAAGGAGGGAAGAGGAATAGGAGGATGCATGAATAAAAACTAAAGAACACTGAATCCGCACGTCCGAGCGGCGCCCAGACAGAGATGAGAGACCGTGAGGGAGGAGGAGGAGGAGGAGGAGGAGGAGGAGGAGGAGGAGGAGGAGGAGGAGGAGGAGGGTGCGAGGATTAAACAGGAGACGGAGACGTAGGAGGATGAGGAGGAGAAGGACAAAAGGGGAGAAGGATGGAGATGCTGAGGGGGACGGGGGTGAAGGAGGGAGGCGGAGCTGGGGGGCGGAGGGAGATGATGGGAAGAGGGAGGGGGGCTCCTAGCGAAGGCGTGTCATTGATTAGATGAACAAAACAGAGACGTAGACATACATTTCTGGATATTCCGCTCGGAGTTCTCGGATCGGCACCTGACGCCACAAGGAAGCCTAACGCCGATCGAAGAAATCCGCGCGGACCTCCGAAACATTATGTTTATGCCAGCTGTTGTTCTTCGACTGATACAGAGGGCGCGCGGGATGACAACCGAAAAACACACACACACATACCCATAGGGGGGACGGAGGGGGCTATGGATGCGCGCTGTCGGATGGGAGCCCACGCTCGAACGGGAGCCTCCCCCGGGGTCCGACAACCCGCCCCCTAACCATAGCCGGTCCTCCTCCCGCCGACACGCCTATGGTAGGTTCGTGTCGTGCAAACGCTGGCGTTGGTTCCTGACACCACGCTGGATCGTTCGACCCTGAACGATCGGCCGTTTCCGAAACGTTGGATTGTTCAACATCGACCCATTCTGGCTCGCTGGCGGCGTTCAACGTTGAACGCCAGCGGCGGGGTCGCCGCCGGTAGACCCGACGCGAACCTGCCGTATGGTATGGGTATGGGTGTGTGTTGCTCGTTCGTCACGGCAGCCGCAGAACACTGCGGCACCTCGCAGCACCGCTGGGCTGCTTGCTGCGCGGCGAGGCCGGGCACAGAGCCGCCTCTCAGCACCCCTCCGCCCGGCATGCGTGCTGCCACGGCGCGCCGCCCGAAGGCCCTCGCCGCCGCCGCCAGCGCCGCCATTCCCGCCACTCTCGGGTGCAACCTCCCTCCATCCTTGGCCCTCTTAAACCACTCCGTACAGTCGAGCGTGTTTGGAGAGGGCACGCGACAGGACACAAGACCCTTCACAGGGCCACACTGCCGTAGGAAGGTAAAGAGGCATGCGTCGCGAGGCACAGGTCACAAGGGTACCCTTGATCTGGCAGGGTCGACCTACTAATCCCACCAGCCCTCTGGGCATAGGTGGTCTAAAGAGATGTGTGCCTCTCTTCCAAGGGCAACCCTCTTCCCTTCGGGGAGAAGTACCCTCCCCCTCCCCTCCCTGGATTTTTTCGGCGGCGGTCGCGAGGTGTCAGGGAGTCCGCTTTCGCTCAGGATGGCTCCAAGTAGGCCTCCGGTGCCACAAGACGGTCTCCAAAATGGCTCAAGACAGCCGAAGATGGTTCAAGACAGCTTCCGACATGCCTCCAAGAAGCCCCAAGAGGGCCACAAGACGGTTCCAGGTGCTCTTGGAGACTCCTCAGGACCCCTCCAAGAGGCTAAAATCCGAAGGAAAACTGATGATTGTTACCTTCTCGCCGTTTCTCATCCGATGCGCGTTTGAGGCCTCGAGATGGCTCCAAGATGGCTCAACAAGGCCCCAAGAGGACCCCAGGAGGCCCCCAAGACGGCCCCGAGAGCGCCCAAGGTCGCTCCAAGAGCGCCCCAAGAGGGCTCCAAGAGCTTGTTTTGAGGGCCCCAGGGGGGGGGGGCCTAGATCGGGACCCCCCCGCCTTTGATCGATAATTAGCCTCGAAGATGGCCCAGAGGCGCTCCAGGGCTCCCCAGAGAGCCCCAAGAGACCCCCAAGAAGTCTCCAAGAGGGTCCCAAGAAGGTCCCAAGACGGCCCCAAGAGGGCCCCAAGACCCCCACCAAAAGAGCCCGAGAATTGTTCAAAGATGCGATTTTGAGGTCTCCTGCAGGGGGGGGGGGGGGGGGCGACATCGAGGACCCCTCCTCATTCGACCGATGCTCTCCAAAATGTCCCCAAGATGCCCTCAAGGGTCCCGAAAGGATCCAAAGAGGGTTCAAGACCCACGACCTGGCGAAAAAGCCCCAAGAGGACCCAAAGAGGACCCCGAGGGAGCATCAGCACCAGCAGCGGCAGCAGCAGCAGCAGCACCACCACCACCACCACCAGCGCCACCAGCAGCACATCCAGCACTTCGCTGATCAGGGCAACTCGTCTGGGCGTCTGGACTGGTAAGCTGGCGCGCGAAGACGAGTACAATGCCGTGCAAGCTAGGGCGGGCCGCGCCGAAACCAAGGAAAAAACAGCGAAGCGAGCGGCGCCCGGCTCAGGGCGGAACAGGGCTCAACGCGGCCAAAAATTACGCGGGAGGCATCACGAAACAGCATCAGAGAACGTCGATGAACTGCGGAACCGAGTAACGCAGGGAGTGCCCTCTGAGGCGCGTTAAGAATTAAGGCCGACTGCAAAGGCCTCCGAGATGGGGTCGGAATAGATGGGGTCGGAATATCGCGCCGCATCGCCGATGACTTCGTGTTGCATCGGCGACGTCGGTGATGCATCGGCGACGTCGGCGCAGAGAAAATCGAGCTCTACATCATCGAGCCGCATCGACGAAGCATCAGCGGTGCGGCGTGATCCCCCAGACGCATCCGACGCATCTCGTTCCTGTCGCACCCTCCGACGTGTCCGTAGGCTGGTCCTGGCGTTTCGCCCGAGACCTCTCCTGAAGCGTGAAGTTTGCAGCAGTTTCCAAGATGGAGGGCGGGTCGTGTTCAAAATGGAGCTCTCCCCTGAGCGCTGCGCACATTCGCCTTGACGGATTGCAGCAGCTTCAAGGATCGAGGGCGGTTCGTTTTCAAAGTCGATCTCTCGCCTTAGCGCCCCGCGCTTTAGATTTCAAAGTTGTCAGCACGATAAAGGATGGAGGCCAATTCCTGTTCAAAATGTGGTTCTCGACCTAGCGAGGCGCGCGCAATTTCGAAAACAAATACAGCAGTTTCAAAGATTCGTAAAGTTGAAGTCCCAGGAATGGTGTTCTGGCACGATTTAGGGCTGTCAGGACGAAACAGTCACGTGGCTTCGCGGTGCGGAAGTCCCAGGAATGGTTTTGTGGCGCGACTCAGGGTTGCCAGGACGCAACAGTCACATTGATTCGCGGCGTTGAAGTTCCAGGGATTGCGTTTTCGAATGATTAGGATCCCCCAATAATTTTCCGAATCCGATCAACATCAAACTATACAATTGCTGTTGTGTCAATCGGCAACTTCCTGCAAATTTTGACTGTAACACCCGCGACGTTGACGCGTCTTGGGTTTACACTGGTGCTCTTCCTCCTCCTGCTCCTCCTTCTCCTCCTTCTCTGTCCTCTTTCTCCTCCTCCTCCTCCAATCATCATCATCATCATGATCATCATCATCATCATCATCATCATCATCATCATCATCATCATCATCATCATCATCATCATCATCATCATCATCATCATCAGCAGCAGCAGCAGCAGCAGCAGCATTCATCATCATGATCATCATCAGCAGCATCATCACCATCACAACATCATCAGCATGATCATCGTCCTCGTCCTCGTCCTAGTCCTCGTCCTCGTCATCGTCATCATCATCATCATCATCATCATCATCATCATCATCATCATCATCATCATCATCATCATCATCATCATAATCAGCATAATCATCACCAGCAGCAGCATCATCAGCATCATCATCATCAGCAGCAGCAGCGTCATCATCCGCAGCATCAGCATGAGCATCAGCATCACCATCACCATCACAGCATCATCATAATCATCATCATCATCACCACCATCATCATCATCATCACCACCACCACCACCACCACCACCACCACAACCACCACCACCACCACCACCACCACCACCACCACCACCATCATCATCATCATCATCATCATCATCATCATCATCATCATCATCATCATCATCATCATCATCATCATCCGCTCTGTTTCTCCCCCTCCTCCCTCCTCCCTCTTCAGCCTGTTCCCCCTCCAACGTATCACGACGACGACACCCTCCCGAAAAGGGTGTTGCCAAAGGTATCCCTGGACCAAAATGCCTCCAGAACTTCCAAGGATTCCGCTACAGCCTCCACAGCACCCGTCACGAGGCCCAGAGGGCCGTATGGGGGTTCAAGATGCAATGAAAACTCTGAGCTGTGGCACCTCGAACACAATGCAGCATCGTAAAAAGTCACGACTGGAGCCCCAGACCCCATCCTCCGCTGCATTTCTCGAGCCAGGTCGATCTGTGGTCCTGGGGCCCAAAGCAGAGCGAAACCGCCCGGTGTGGGAGGGAAAATTGCAACGCCCAGAACCCAGGAGCAGCGAACATATCCGTATCCGCGCTCTTGTGGCGGGGCGCGATCCCGCGGAAACGCGGTCGCACGGATACGTCTCGCGCGGGGCATCCGCGGGGTCGCTGCCGAGTCGCCCGGCCCCCAAGGCCGCGGATACGACTATGTGTTTCGCCCACGAAGAACTCAGGGAAGCTGGGGCCAGCCTGGGCCAAGGACGCCACAAGCAGCTCCGACTCGCGGACTACCTGCCAGACCACCCCAACCTGACCTGAAGACCCAAATTCTGGAATGCGGGGGGTGCGGGTTCCACATGCGTTTTTCAAGTGTTCCCCGACGCCCCCCAGCCCCACTGGGAACGGAGGACAAATTGGTGCCTTCGAGTTGGGCAAGACGAAGCCAAAACGAAGATAAATTCGGGTGAAGGTAAATTGAGAATCTCTGATATCAAGCGGCTCCGGAGGACGTCTCGGGCGCCGCGGCCGGAACGATCTCAGAGCGTTCTGGAACGCTCTGAACCGATGTATCCTCGTCCTACAGTAGGAGCTCGACCACAAAAAACCTTCCACAAGAAACCCAAATCTGAGACCCCGGGACGTCCCTTGATTTTTGGTGTGGGGACGTCACGCTTTCCAACCATCGGAACCCAAGAAACCCACGGCACCCTGGAGGCAAGCAGGGTGTTTCTGGGCATGGGCTTCCACTGCAGCTTCGTCCGATTGGGCCGGCGTGCTTGGGTGGGTGGCGAGTCGCCGCCCCGGTCCTCTGTCAGGAACTGCACCGGCTCGGGCAGCTTGGGCCGCGTGTCCTCGGGCGCATCCTCCTCGAGTTCCTTCGGCTTCTCCGGCTCCTTGGGCTTCTCCGGCTCCTCTTGGGCCGGGCGCGCGCGCGTCGGCCGAGGCCGCGGGGCTCTCCAAAGGGCCGGGGCGGCGAGAGTCGCCCCCGCCCGCCTGGAGGGAACAGGGGGGCGGGAGGGAGAGAAGGGGGAGAGGGGGAGAAGGAACGGGGATCCTCCTCGTCCTCCTCCTCCTCCTCCTCCTCCTCGTCCGCGCTGGCGGCCGTCGCGAAGGCCGAGGGCGTTCGCGGGTTTCGCAGGGATCTCTCGGGCATTCGCGGCTCCTCCTCCTCATCCTCCTCCTGCCCCTGTTCGCTGTTGGCTATGGAGTCGGTCGCGACGCAGCCACCGCTCCTCTTCCTCCTCCTCTTCTCCTCCTCCTCCTCCTAATGATCCTCCCCCTCCTCCTTCCCCTCCTCCTCCTCCCCCTCCCCCTCCTCCCCCTCTCCCTCCCCCCCCCCCTCCACAATTACACAATATGAAAATACTCTCCCACTTCCCCTGATGGCGTCCCGAAGATGGCCGACCCCCCCCCCCCCCGCGTATTGTTTTTTACACACAGGATTCCCGGGAAACGGGTTTTCGCCTGCGTTTTTTTCAAAACGCTGCTCTCGCTGAGGCGCCGGCCTCATTTCTGCTCCCGAATCGTTCCGAATCGTGCTCCCGCTGCAGCGTGGGCCTCATTTTCGGATCGGTGTTTGGCCTCCGTCGTTCAGGATGGCGTGCTCGCCCCAGCGCGGGCCTCTTTCACGCGCGCCCATCCGCCCGCCACCACCGCGCCGCACCACCACCACCACCACCACCACCACCACCACCACCACATCACAACCACCACCAGCACCACCACCACCACCACCACCACCAGCAGCAGCACCACCACCACCACCACCACGCACACACGCACGCACGCACGCACGCACGCACCACCACCCACTACGCACGCGCGCGCGGAGCCACAGGTCCGCTACGACACGCGTCCGCGGATAGAGAAAATCAGCGCCATGGTAAGGGATGGGAGGGAGGGGTAGGACGTCAGATATGACGCGAGCGCACCTAGCTTGCCCTCCTCCACCTCCCCCTCCTCCTCCTCCTCCTCCTCCTCCTCCTCCTCCTCCTCCTCCTCCTCCTCCATCTCCTAATTATGGTCCTCCTTTTCCTCCTCCTTTTTTCCCTCCTCCTCCTCCTCCTCCTGCCCCGGGCACACGGGGGAGGAGGGGGAGGGGGAGGAGGAAGGAGGGGGAGAGCACACGGAGGAGGGGGAGGAGGGCACACGGGGGAGGAGGAACAGGGAGGGCACACGGGGGAGGAGGGGAATGGGGGAGGAGGAGGGAGAGGGATAGGCATTGTGGGGTGGAGGGGGGAGGAGCAGCATGATGAGGAGGGGGCGAGGGAGGAAGGAGGACATGAAGGGCGTTACCATCCACCAGCCCCCTCCAAGAGGACTCCAGGGCTCCGCAGGGGCCCCAACCGAGCCCCAGGAGGGCCCAAGACCTCCTGAAAGAGACCCACGAGGATCCCAAGACCTCACCAAAGAGCCTCAGGAGGGCCCCAAGAGGGCCCAGAGCAAAGGCCTGCTTGGCCTGCTCGCGAGCTTTCGTTGAACAGCTGTCTTCTGCCTGGGCTTCCTTTCTGAACGAGCTGGTGGGGGTGCGCGAAGCGTCAAAAAGTATGGCAGATTTGAATCGCCAATCCCATTGCGCGACGTCAGCTCAAATTCACAGGCAAAGTTCCAACCACACACACACACGCAACGTATGGCCAACAACACCAGCGTAGTGACGCGAGGACCCAGATCCATGCCTCGGGCGGGCGAGCGCTGATGCGGGGACGACCATGGTGATGTTGACAACGACGTTGGGGATGGCGATGAACATAAGTGCGATGACGGTAGCAAGCTTGACGCTAAAGACGGGAATAACGATGGTGCTAATGAGGACGATCAGGAAGTGCGCGGGGCGACGAAAAGACAAATGACACGTATGTGACTGAAGGCTCGGAAGCCAGATGCGTTTGAACAGATGTGTTGAAAGTCTGGGAGAACCCATGGTTTAGAAAGAATTCGACGTGCGCACGCGGAGACGCGCGTATGGCCTGCACGGATATTGTTTGACTGAACTACTGGGTACGTGATTCTGGTTGGATGTGTTCAACATGCTCGCGCGTGTGGACCGCATGGTCTGTTTAGACAGATCGGCAAATAAGCCAATGGCTTCCTCATGATCACGGCGAGCGCGAGCGCCGAGGTCTGGCAACTTGTTTTGAAACGCCAAAGAGGCGTTTAACACGTTTGAGAACAGAATGCTCTCACATTGCTTCAACACAATACGGCAGGTTCGTGTCGTGCCGACTTGGGCGTTGGTCTCTGACACCGCCGGGATCGCGCAACAAACCTTAACGATGGCGGGGTCGCCGCTGGTCGACACGGCGCGAACCCACCGTAAACACCGCAACGGGAACGCGCCCACGAGGCGGCGATGCGGCGGCCACAAACAACCACCCGACGACAACCCATCGCCCCGAGACGCCGACACGTCGGCTACGGGCGCACACCGAGCGAAAACAGCCCCAACTGCCAAACAGCTTGCGAGGCGGCGACGATAACAGGGACTATCCGCCATCGCGCTTGCAGCGGTAAGTGTGTGTGCGCGTGTGTGCGTGTGTGCGTGTGTGTGTGTTTGTGTGCTTGTGTGTTTGTGTATCTGTGTGTGTATGTTGTGTATGTGTATGTTGTTTATGTGTATGTGAATGTGTATGTGTGTATGTGCGTATGTGGGTGTGTGGGTGTGTGGATGTGTGGGTGTGTGGGTGTGTGGGTGTGTGGGTGTGTGGGCGTGTGGGTGTGTGGGTGTGTGGGTGTGTGGGTGTGTGGGTGCCTGGGTGCCGTGGTGCCTGGGTAAGTGGGTGTGTGGCTGTGTGGGTGTGTGGGTGTGTGGGTGTGTGGGTGCGTGGGTGTGTGGGTGTGTGGGTGGGTTGGTGCGTGGGTGCGTGGGTGTGTGGGTGTTTGGGCGTGTGGGTGTGTGGGTGCGTGGGTGCGTGGGTGCGTGGGTGCGTCGGTGCGTGGGTGCATGGGTGCGTGGGTGCGTGGGTGCGTGGGTGTGTGGGTGTGTGGTGCGTGGGTGCGTAAGTTGCATGGGCGTGTGGGTGCGTGGGGTGCGTGGGTGTTTGGGTGCGTGGGTGTGTGGGTGTGGGTGCGTGGTGGGTGCGTGGGTGCGTGGGTGCGTTGGTGCGTGGGTGCGTGGGTGCGTGGGTGCGTGTGCGCGTGCGCGTGCGCGTGCGCGTGCGCGTGCGCGTGCGCGTGCGCTTGCGCGTGCGCGTGCGTGTGCGTGTGCGTGTGCGTGTGCGCGTTCACGTGCGTGTGCGCGTGCGCGTGCGCGAACGCGTGCGCGTGCGCGTGCGCGTGCGCGTGCGCGTGTGCGTGTGCGCGTGCGCGTGCGCGTGCGCGTGCGCGTGTGCGCGTGCGCGTGCGCGTGCGCGTGCGCGTGCGCGTGCGCGTGCGCGTGCGCGTGCGCGTGCGCGTGCGCGTGCGCTTGCGCGTGCACGTGCACGTGCGCGTGCGCGTGCGCGTGCGTCTGCACGTGCGCGCGTGCGCGAGCGCGAGCGCGTGCGCGTGCGCGTGCGCGTGCGCGTGCGCGTGCGTGTGCGTATGCGCGTGCGCATGCGCGTGCGCGTGCGTGTGCGTGTGCGTGTGCGTGTGCGTGTGCGTGTGCGCGTGCGCGTGCGCGTACGGGTGCGGGTGCGCGTGCGCGTGCGCGTGCGCGTGCGCGTGCGCGTGCGCGTGCGCGTGCGCGTGCGCGTGCGCGCGTGCGCGTGCGCGTGCGCGTGCGCGTGCGCGTGCGCGTGCGCGTGCGCGTGCGCGTGCGCGTGTGCGTGTGCGTGTGTGCGTGCGTGTGCGTGTGCGCGAGCGCGTGCGCGTGCGCGTGCGCGTGCGTGTGTGCGCGTGCGTGTGTGCGCGCGCGTGTGCGCGTGCGCGTGCGCGCGTGCGCGTGCGCGTGCGTGCTCGTGCGCGTGCGCGTGCGCGTGCGCGTGCGCGTGCGCGTGCGCGTGCGCGTGCGCGTGTGCGTGCGCGTGCGCGTGGGCGTGGGCGTGCGTGGGCGTGGGCGTGGGCGTGGGCGTGGGCGTGGCCGTGGGCGTGGGAGGGTGTGTGTGTGCGTGCGTGCGTGCGTGCGTGCGTGTGTGTGTGTGTGTGTGTCTGTGTGTGTTCGTGTGTGTGTGTTCGTGCGTGTGTGTGTGTGTTGTGTTGTGTTGTGTTGTGTTGTGTTGTGTTGTATTGTATTGTGTTGTGGTGTGGTGTGGTGTGGTGTGGTGTGGTGTGGTGCGGTGCGGTGCGGTGCGGTGCGGTGTGGTGTGGTGTGTTGTGTTGTGTTGTGTTGTGTTGTGTAATGCTGTGTTGTGTTGTGTTGTGTTGTATTGTGCTGTGTTGTGCTGAATTGTGTTGTGTTGCGTTGTGTTGTGTTGTGTTGTGTTGCGTTGTGTTGTGTTGTGTTGTGTTGTGTTGTGTTGTGTTGTGTGATGTTGTGTGGTGTTGTGTTGTGGTGTGATGTTGTGTGGTGTTGTGTTGTGGTGTGGTGTGGTGTGGTGTTGTGTGGTGTGGAGGGTTGTGTTGTGTTGTGTTGTGTTGTGGTGTGTTGTGGTGTGTTGTGTTGTGTTGTGTTGTGTTGTGTGTCGGGCCCTCTCGCTTTTGCGAAGCAATACTTACTTGGGGGCCCCCGACGCATCGAACGCAAGACGCGTTCACTTGTATGACCGAGTCCCTGCGCTTTCGGCCTTCCCGGCAGAGAATGTGCCCAAAATCGAGGTTCGGGGGGGGGGAGGTTCAATGGTCCCCCCCGCCCCCCCCCAGCGCCGCGATCAGGACTTAGCCCGGGAAAATCGGACACTCCCCGGGAAAAACTGACACTTCCCGGTAGCACCGGGGAATGTCCGATTTTTGCGGCGCTTTCTTTGCGAATGTTTCAAGCGGGGTCGAGCCACAAAGTCTTCGAAAGCCAACTGGTTGGCTTACGTCTGACCATTCGGTTTCCGAAAAAACATAC